GGCGACAGCAACGCGCTCCAGATCCAATTTAAAGATCACCGTTTAAGGCACACATCAGATCGGAAACAACATTTGAAGCTGTCTGACGGAATTCTGACTGTGCACAGTTTCTCTCATTTTAGGCACATCTGAGCCTATTGTGATTATAACAGTTACAGACGCCCTGCTCACACCACAACAGCCAACTATACCAGCCACAGTCCAACCCGCTCATGATTTCATCACGACCATGCACAAACTTTGGGATCGGACCCACAAGCGCCTTCTCGACATTCAGCAACAACAGAAGCGCCAGGCCGGTCGGCACCACACAGACCACACCATCACCGTGGGAGACCGTGTACTGCTCGAGAAGCGCAATCGTGACATCAGCCATCTCTCATCCAAACTGTGACCTCGCTTCAGCGGGCCTTTTCTCGTTGAAGCACAAGTCACTCCTGTTACCTTCCGCTTACGCCTGCCAGCTACTTGGAAGATTCATAATGCCTTCCATGTCCAACTCTTGAAGCCCTACCGAGATCCCACCACGCTCTTCTCTTGACGCCAACCGCCGCCGCCGCCGTCCGTCCTCGTCCATGATGAACCCGAGTACGAGGTCGAGTCCGTGCTTGCTCACCGCCGTCGACGCAATGGCAACGTGGAGCTTCTCATCCGTTGGAAGGGTTATGATCCTTCAGAGGATCGCTGGGTCTCTGAATCCGAGATGGATCACGCTCGTCGTCCTCTTCGCGACTACCTTGTCATGCAGGGTGTTACGTCTACCACCCAGCTTTAAGGGGGGGAAGTGTGAGAGTACGACCCCGTTCCATTCCTTTCTCCTTTCCATATTCCCTTTTCATTTCATTCCTCTTTTTATCCTGATTTATTTGGTCTTTATCTCATTCCATTTGGATCCCTATTCCTCCTTTTCCATAAACCTTTGGTTTATCCTATTATTATCATTATATCACCGACCAGGCTCGGGGTGTATTGGCACGCTATATCTAGCATAATCCTGTCGTAATCATTTAAAACCAATAGCCTCGCGTGGCTATACGCAAGGTGATTCTATTTTCTAGAAGGGTCTATTCCCTTGGGATAGGATAGACCTGGTTACCTGATGTACCTTGGAAGTATAAAAGCGCCTTGTACTGATCAATAGTGCAACCTTTCCTCGACACATTCGATCCTGTGACACTGCAGGCCCAACGGAATCTCAACCGACAGATCCGATGGCTCGATTTTCTCGTGTCAAATTTCCACTATACCATCATCTACAAACGGGGCGCCAACAATATTGCTGATGCCTTGACCTGACCCACTGCTTGTACAGCCGCCATACTAGTCGCCCAAACCGGCCCACTCCTTACCAGATTGTTTACCCACGACTACAAATTCGACCCCTTCTTCCGCTCCGCCATTCACCAACAGCATACCACCGCTACCGGACACTACGTTTTTATGTGTGACACTTCCTGCATCTGGGTTCCCGGCTACGATTTACTGTATATCCTTCTAATCCAGGAATCCCACGACAATCCTACCTCCGGGCATTTCAGAGTTGACAAAACCATGAAGACGCTGCAGCACAATTATTACTAGCCGAACATGGTCAACGACGTGCGCAAGTACGTGTCCTCCTGCACCGCCTCCCAGATCATGAAATCATCCCATCAGCGAGCTGCCAGACTCCTACAGCTGTTGGATCCGCCCGAGAGACCCTGGCAACACGTCACGATAGACTACGTCACAGGACTGCTGGCCGGTCCTAGCGGAAACGACGCCATCCTCGTGGTCGTTGAGCGACTCAGGAAAATGGCGCACTTCATCGCCTGCCAACCGAAAATTACAGCCGAGCAAAGTGCACAACTATTCATCGCCAATGTCATCAGACTGCACGGACTGCCCATCGCCATTATTTCAGACCGAGACCCGAAATTCACATCGAATTTCTGGCGTCACCTGTGGGACCAGTTTGGTACAGGTCATATTCCCTTATCACCCGGGGGGCGACTCGGGACATTTGGCGTACATGGAATATGCTCGGGCAAACGGGGCTATGGCGTGGCTTTAGATTTTTTCTGCTTGGATTTTATGAACTGTTCATGGTCGGCGGTGTTGGCGTTTGTTGCGATCAGGTGTCGCTCACCAGCTCGTACGCGCGTCAACTCAGGGTTCATGGTAAAGTTTCATATTCCTCACAACATTCGATGCGCTCTATCAAGAACTAGGAAAAGGCGTTTACATTTGAGAAATTTGCCAACGTGCAAATAGACGAGGTAGGCGAACATTGACGAGAGCGGTGACCAGTCATGTTTGCGCATCCGGATTCATTTCGGAGTAATGTAAAACGCGCCCCCGCTTGTAATCAGCTCACGACACTGTACAAACATTACTCACACAATTTGTGGGGCAAACGTGGAGGAACATAAATGGCTGGTCTTGTGGTTGTTGGATTTTCCAAAAAGTGATGTGGATTCGGCTCCGAACATTGGTTCACGAGTATGACACAAACAGCCAGTGTCAGATCGCCTGCCATTGAAAGTCGTCGCACGAGCACACTAATTGGTTATCGAAAAATGTTGCCAATTGATTGTAATGAGTACTGTTCACATGACACGGGTACACTTTGCGTACAAGGAGAGGCCCTTAAGGATAAATTGCCTATGGAATACTTTTGGGCGTAAAAGGGTGTCGTCTACAAGGCATATGACCTGTATCAAGCTACAGTTTTCCTCCGCCTACCACCCACAGACTGACGGGCAGACTGAACGAGTCAACCAAACAATAGAGCAACTCATTCGGATTACCAACACTGACCCACAGACATGAGAGAAATCCCTTCCGCTGCTGGAATTTGCGTATAATAACGTGCCTTCCGCAACAACCCATCAATCCCCATTTTCCTCAATTACGGACAGGACCCAGTGATACCCTCTACACCAAACATCGAGACACCTGTGCCCCGGTCCCAACGATTTGCCAAAGACATCCTCGCAGTGTGAGTAAAATAAGCTGAGGCAATCCGCAAAGCCAACCTGGTCGCAAGCTGACAAGCCGATCGTCATCGACGTAACGTTACTTACAAAGTGGGAGATCTTCTATTACTCGACACTCGCAACTTGCGCCTGCCGATCCCGAGCAAACTCCAACCCCACTTCTATGGCCCTTTTCAAGAAACCAATATGGTGACACATGTCACAGCTCACCTTCGACTCCCGGCTGATTGGCGTCACCACCCGGCTTTCCACATCAGCCTACTACGACCCTGCATCCCCAATTCGTCGGATTTGGCACGTCAACGTATCGTACCGCAGCTGACGCCCCTGCAGGAACCGACGACCGAGCCCTTGAAGATTCTTGGCCATCGAGTCACAAAGCAGTAGAACTGTCGAATAGTGGATTTTCTTGTCAGATGGCACGATCGGACGTTGACAGCTGGGTCCCCCTCGCTGATATAGAATCACACCCGATTCTAACAGAGTATTATCAGCTTCGGAATGTTTCGGATGCTCGCGGCCTCGTTAAGAGGGGGGGGGAGGGAGGGGGCTAGTGTAAGGAATTTCCATTCCATACTGAGTCGTACGCTAGCGCGTACACCCGAACTCCTCGATTCGTCACGTTCGGCCTCATTTGTCGGCCCAACCCCTTCCCTCGCCGCGTCCGGCACTGTCACCACATTGCCGAACCTACCCAAGTTATGAGGTTATCGCCCTAGCACTCCAACCCCTATATAACCTCGTGCCTTCATTGCAATAGCAACCTTGTATTCTCACGTTATATTTCATTGACACTTCCTATATCATAACACATAACCTGCATGACGAAAATGGAGCCAGGTGAACAGCTAGGCGCATGTTTCTGCGGAAATGACGTCTGCCGATAGGCTGACCGACAAATCATTCTGACGCGACGCGCGAGACGAGCCACACAACAGCGCGCGTCAGAATGACGTGATGGAAGACTCAGACAGGAGAGAATAACCCCGGGAAAAATATTTCGACGCCGGGACAGCCTAAAAGTTGGCGGGTCGCGGAAACCTTAAAGCGAGATGGTAAAATAGTGAAGGCTCGCCCAACTTGAAAGAGGACTTCCCCTAGTGACTTCTCTTGGAAACCTCGGCTGACAAATTACTGTTCCAAAGTGACGCAGGTTGGAAAAAAGAAGTTTGATCTCAAAGCTGATTGGATCCCGCCAACATGCTCGTCGCAAGATGAAACTCGCGACGTGCCAAAGCTGTATTTCTTGCACGAAATTCTTGTCAGGGTTAGCGTTTCTCTGTGCGATTCTGGCATGACGAGTGCATGCGACGGGTTGAGGCTTTCGGGTCAAGTTGGGCCCAACTCGGTTTTCAAGTTGGGCCTGGATTCATAATAGTTGCAAAGAGCACTTGTCCTTTTCCTACGCAAAAGTTCATTTCCTGGCTAGTTGTAAGCTACTAACAGATGCCTAGCTACCTAGTTCCGCTAGTTGACCCCTTGTTTTTTCCGCTTTAGTGCCTAGGAACAGTGAGGAAAATGTGACGCAACGAGATAGGGAGAGAGTGGCACAGTGGAAGGGAAAGAGAGATAGTTACACGGCGGGAGAGAGAGAGAGAGAGAGAGAGAGAGAGAGAGAGAGAGAGAGAGAGAGAGAGAGAGAGAGAGAGAGAGAGAGAGAGAGAGAGAGAGAGAGAGCAGCGCGATGGGAGAGAGAGCAGCACAGCGAGATGGGAGAGAGAGAGTAACGTGGCGGGAGAGAGAGAGAGTAGCGCGGTGGGTGAGAGAGAGAGAGTAGCGCGACGGGAGAAAGAGAGTGTGTGTGTGTGTGTGTGTAGCGAGATGGGAGAGAGACAGAGTAGTGCGACGGGAAAGAGAGAGAGTAGCGCGGCGGGAGAGACAGAGAGTAACGCCACGGGAGAGAGAGAAAGTAGCGCGATGGGAGAGAGAGAGAGAGAGAGAGAGAGAGAGAGAGAGAGAGAGAGAGAGAGAGAGAGAGAGAGAGAGAGAGAGAGAGAGAGAGAGAGAGAGAGAGAGACCCGACCCGCGTCTCCCAAACCACCTGCTCCGCTGTGGGACAGGGCACGGACGCACTAATACACACAACGCTCTCCGGGACGAGTGCACTCGCATGGCACGAGACGCACAGTTCATCGTCGAGAAAGAAACTGCCACCTATACCCCCATCGGCGACCAGACTGCCGACCTGGCAATCCGGGACCGTGACTCGGGCGCAGTATGGATCTGCGACGTCACCGTCACCGACCCGATCAGCAGCCGCGATCCCCTGGCATGGAAAGGGAGGGGGTACATGGTGCGGGAGCAAGCAGACAAGAAGATAGACCACTATCGCAACCGCGCGCCGTACGTCGGTTTCTTCCCCCTCGCCGTGGAGACCTACGGGTGCCCCTGTGCCGAGGTGCCCGCTTTCCTACAGCTCCTGGCCCATACTGGCGCCCGCCGCCTCTTCAATGCGAACCCGACCTCGTACCAGGCCGCCAAGCTGCTCAACCAGTTTCGACAGCGATGGTCGGTCACCCTCCAGCGCGGACAGGCCCTTTCATACCTCGGCAAGGTCAACGAAGCCGCCCCGCTGGAACGACCTGTCCTCGGGGCGCCAGATGACGGCATGTCTCTGGGGGACTGTTTCGTCATTCTGGAATCTGCGGGGGAACCTAACTCAGTTTAGCTGGGGGAGGGAGAGCGGCTTTTAGGCTGCATGCCCGTTCCTGACTCACTTGGCTAGCTCTGTACTCAGGTTCCTAATGAATGCAAAGGACCGCTAGAGAGAGAGCGAGAGAGAGAGAGAGAGAGAGAGAGAGAGAGAGAGAGAGAGAGAGAGAGAGAGAGAGAGAGAGAGAGAGAGAGAGGAGAGAGAGAGAGAGAGAGAGAGAGAGAGAGAGAGAGAGAGAGAGAGAGGGAGAGTAGCGCGATGGGAGCGACAGAGTAGCACGGCGGGGGAGAGAGAAAAGCGTGACTGGATAGAGTGTGTAACGCCGCGGGAGCGTGTAGTGCGGCGTGAAAAGAAAGAGAGCGAGGCGGAGAGCGGATGAGAGTTGCGCTGCGAAAAAAAAAAAAGGTGGCGCATGGCGATAGTCTTGCTCTTTTCGACGTGCACTCACTCTCTCCCCCTCTCTCCTCACTTCTCCCTTTGTTTATGCGCCTCTTCCCCTCTCTCTCTCTGCACATCCTCCTCTCTCTCTCCGCGCCTCTTCCTCCCTCTCTCCGCGCCTCTTCCTCTCTCTCTCTCTCTCTCTCTCTCTCTCTCTCTCTCTCTCTCTCTCTCTCTCTCTCTCTCTCTCTCTCTCTCTCTCTCTCTCTCTCCGCGCCTCTTCCTCTCTCTCTCCGCACCTCTTCCGCTCTCTCTCCGCGCCTCTTCATCTCTATCTTCGCCCCTCTCCTTCGATTTCGCCAGGGCTTTCCTTCTCACGCTCCCGCTCTGAACTTCTCTTCCTCACCGTATTTCTCCAGCTCTCCACACCTGTCGCCGCGAGTCTCTCTCTGTGTCGTGGTTTTGGTATTTTGCATTCTGTTTTTCAATCGCGACGTTTTATTTTGCTGGTACTTTGAAGAGACATGTGATGGGGAAATGCGTGCCTTCAGCTCTCAAAATAAAGGTCCTCAGCTCGTCTTTTGCAGGGTAGCGGGATGGCTTGTGACTTGCAAAAATCATGCAAAATGTTCATTCGTAATTTATCGCCAACTATCTCACAAACACGAACTGGCCTCCTAACAAAAAACTCTCCCAAGTTTCCAACCAACACTCTCTTGAGCCGAACTATTTCGAGTTGGGTCCAACTTGAAAAGGGGGTCACTATTCTAGCCTCTCGCTTTAAGACAGGGGGAGGGCGTGTCCAACATGTTTATCTCCTATGTTTGCATAGACTGTATAGGGCCACCTCTTAGAGGGTACAACACTATGTATATTCACCTGTACTCTCTCGCTACTCAATTATTCAGTTCTCACTTTAACAGGGCGTGCGATCTGCTACAGAAAGAAACAATGGCGACCAGAAAAACCACCACTGCTAAAAACGCTACTGCGATAATCTTGACGGAATGGAACGGACGGGTGGCGCCACTTTTAGACGGGATGCGAGAGACCGCACCGCAGCTACGAGAAAACGAAAGTTCGAAGGAATCATCTGCGCTTGACTTCGCTCGTGATTGGACCTCGTTCCGGGTCGTTCAGACCTGCTTCATTTCTGGCCTGTACACAGTTGGGACCAGTTCTCCTAAAATGTGTGGACCCAAATATGTCATCCCCATTTGTATTTCTATGTGGAACATGGATTTGTATTTCTGTGTGCCAAAACGAGACTAAAAATGGACCGAAAACATAACGACATGAACATATTTGACCAAAAAAAAAAACAAGAGGCGACGAGATCGTCTTAGGGTTGCGGAGCATTTCATGATGAGACTTTATTATACATAAAATGCTTTATTTCCATCACAACAAACATTTGATTTTTATTTCACAAACTTGAAAAAAAAACCAGCCCGATCGATTGCAATAGGTTGCTCCGTAACCCAAAAAAATCATCCTGACGGCTGAGGCTGATCAATCCTATGACCCCTTCACACTCTGCTCAAAAGCATGCTGCTGACAACACCAGGGACCACACGTCCTGCGTCAGAGCACCTACAGTTGCTCTATAAATATTGACTGCTGCTGCTGCTGTCAGCACCATGCATAAGAGCCCAACTCTGCCTGATTCCCAGCCTCCTCACAGCACTGCCTAAACAGCTACATGAGCATGGCACCGCACCGCACTGTGTTGCACACCAGTCACAGGTAGCACGCACAGCCTTCGAGGCTGAACTGTATCATGTGCAGTCCCCACCGAGGTACTACCAACTGCACTGCACGGAAAGGCACAGTTGTTTCCGCACCTCACATTTTCCTCGCTTTAAATCCGAAACCCCCCTTCTGCGATCCCAGCCCGCCCTTCTTCCCCCCGAGCGTCTCCTTGTGCAGAAACAGCGCACCCAGCTTCGAGCTCTTCCCCGCTTTCCCCTTCTCCCCCTCCCCCTCCGCCTCCTCCTTCCCATTGTTGCGGCGGATCCGCGCGGCTTCGGTCTGGAAAATCACGAGCAAGTCGCGCGTAGAGTCGCGAAGCAGGGAGCGAAGGCAGCGCTTGAAAATGGAGGGCGGCGCGATGGGCGGCAGCACGAACTGATGCAGCACCAGCCGCGACGCCACGCGCACGCCGCCGCCGCCGCCGCCGCTCGCGGCGAAAGCTCCCGCGAGTTCCGAAGCCCAATCGCGGTCGCACGGGCTGCCCGGAAAAGGAACAGCTGAGAGCGGCGACTGAGGGGAGGAGGAGCCAAAGGTTCCGTATGGGGGGGAAGGGGCGGAGGAAGTGGGGGAAGAAGGGCGGGAGGGAGAAGAGGGCGCAAAAGCGGGGGAGGACGAGGAGCAGGGGGAAGAACTCGAGGAAGGTGCGGCGGAAGCAGGGACGAAGAGCGGCTCGACCTGCCAGTAGCCCTCGAACTTGCGCATGAAGCCGGGGCAGGTTTGGGTGAAGGTCATCTTGCGGTTTGGACGATCGTACGTGAAGCGCAGATGCGAGTCGAATGTTCCTGTAAAGGGGGGGAGCTTGAAGACGAACGTGACGTCCACCTCGGTCACCTTCACCCCGTTACAGTCACTCACGACGCGCTCGTTCCTCGCCGCCTTGATGTTCTTAAACACGCGTCGGTTGTGCGCGTCGCACAGCATAGAGAACAGGGCGTCCGGCGGAAGCGCGACTGTCGCGTCGCCGTCAAGCTTCAAACCGACGCCGTTATCTCCGACGGCGACCGTCATTGACGGAAGCTCGTCGACAAAGTCCGGGTCCTCGAACCACGAGGCGAGCTGGGCGCGCATTGCCTCCTCCCATGGCTCTGACGTGGTGTTAGCGAAGACTGACGTGGCCTTGGTCGTGGTTGATGTGGTGTCGGTGGCGTCGTCGAAATCGAGGTCGGAGGGTGGCTGAAGGGAAAGTAGTTCAGATGAAATTAGTTCAGAAGCCAAGGCGATTGTTCCTGGATCGTTCAAATCATTTGGAAGATGCGCGACCGCTGCCATGCTGAGAGTCACGCAAGTCAATGGGAAGCGTGTTTCAACCCAGAAGTTCTGCGATGCGCGGTGCGAACTCTTGCAGACGCCGATCGCCTTGATGGCGGCTAGGGCGAAAGGGAACGCGCGGCGGCTCGCGTAGTATTAGAGTGACTCCAAACGTCAAGGCTTTCGAGTCGACTCAGACGTCTCACCTCGGCCTTGCTCGGCGGGCGTGGCGAGGGCAGTCGTCGCCAAACACACCCTCAGGCAGCGGGCGAAGAGGAAAACACGGAACAGAGAAGGCTAGCGACAAGGTAGTGCAAAGAGTGTGCTTGGCGGCGGAACTAAATACTACAAAAGCACCACAAAACTCCCTGCTGTGCTTGCCCTTGTGCTTTGAAGCTTGAGCAGGGTCGGGAGGCAAATGACGACTGAAGGCTCTGGTCTGGGGCTCTCGGAAGGTCTGGACTCGACAGAATGGAAGGGCTAGAGAGGGCGAAGCGCGTGGAGTGGGCTGGAATGGGCGATCAGGGGAATTATAGGTCGGCAAGCTATGGTGTCAATCCCAATCAAACGGTTAAGCTGGGGCCGCGCTTCTGGCCTAGGTCGGTCAGTGGTGAGGTAACCACTGACCACGACTCGGTGGTGTCATGTACACCTGACGTCCAGTGAATCGCTTATTCATTGGGTGCCACATGTCTATCTACAGGCCTGTGGTTCGAACGCACGGGCCACGGCTCAGTCGACACAGGCCCAAAGATTTGCAGCAGTTACCACATCTGATGCAGAGACCTCCAAACGTGCAGACGAGACGTTCTCAAACCCTATAATGCTGCCCGAGGAACGCAAAACAGACAACAATGGTCAACCAGACTACGTTATATTGGCCCAATTAGCCTGTGAAAGTTATGTGCTCGACTCTGGAGCATCCGCCCTAAAAACAACTAGACCAGAAAATGACTTCATGTGTACCACACGCTGGAAGTGGTGCATGAAAGAATGTGCCGTACGATAATAAGTACACCCTAAATCTCGTTTGTCTCAAATCACGTAGCATAAAAAAGTGGATACAGTCATTGCAAAGATCGCCTGCTTATCGCATTGTGAAGAGGAATTTCACATTGCCCTGGGCCAAATATGGCTTAGTGTGTGAAAAACTATAGACCTTAACGGGTTGAGCTGCTGATTCCAGAAACTCCTCGTCGCGTGAATCCTCCATTCGGAACATTCGGCACCTTTGCACGGAATGTTGAAAGGGTCCTGCAGCTGACCGGTGTGGGAAAGGGGGCCGGATTTCCTCCTGGGATAACTAAAAGCCTTTAGGTGGGACCACACACTTGTCACTCCAGAATACATCCCTACTTCTTCGGGGGCACAGGAAATACCCCTGGTGGTCGGTTCCCCGGGCGGTCGTGCAATCACATTCCGAAAGAAACGAACGCAGCCAGCCTGACATAAAACCTTTACTCTAACGAGGTTTTGGGTGTACACCTAGTCAACTTCGGGGGACCAGGTGTTGACAAGTGTGATGTGGAATGTCCAGAGAAGTCAGTGTAGGGTTGAGTGGAGAAGACACCCGAATCCCGATTCGCGAATCGAAATGAGAAACGAGTGACACAAGAGAGGGATTCAGAAGAGAGAGGGCGACATGAGGAGGAGAGGAGTGCAGTACAGAACCAGCGAGTCACTGAGGCGCATTCGATTCGACTTGAATCGAATGGTCGGGAGCGAATCCGGTGATGGCCGAAACTTGTGGAGGGGAACAAAGTGTAGTGGAGCAGGTGCCACTGGATTGGTTGAAGGGCGGTTGCGTCGAGTCGGGGTTCGGTTGGCGCGTACACGTAGGAACAACCGAATCGAAACAAAAAGACGAATGGACGAGAGTTGGACTAAGTGGGCGGGATGACTGGGACAGATTTTCGTTAGGGTACAGATTTGAACCCAGAAATTACCCGTATCAGACGGAATATCCGAAACATTACCCGTAGCAGACGGTATCGTCGAAAATCTACCCTGTGTGCAATGCTATTGTAAGATATGCTTGCTCTAACACTTCCACAGAAGGGTCAGGAGGAGGAATGTCCCCACTAGCATGGCTACGAAGCATAACGTAGGGAAGAAACTGCCCTTCCGAGGGGCGAGTATTTACCACCACTGACACATGACCTCTACAAGTACACTTCACTCACTTCCATTAGTAACCCGTAATGTCAAGGAATGGAACCTGATCCCTTAGGCAGTCGAAATCGAAAAACAAAATCATTCAGGAAAAAAAAAATCATGCTGAAAGCCATCAAGGGCACCTGCCCCTATATCGATACTAAAAGTATAGCTAGCCCGCGGTAATTTCACACCCTCAAAATGGGGGGCAGAAACATTTTTGTTTACTCCCTTGTTCGTACGGCCTAAGAGCGGCAGACTTCACGCGGGGAAAACTTTGAGCACTACCTAAGCTGACATCGGGTTTCCTCAATCACGAAACACTAAATCAATAAGTAAACGTTTCGTATAGAAAACCAAGGTATTTGTTTTTCAAGGGTATCCATATCTGGTCTTCAGTAGCTTCTTCCAGGGGGTAAATACCCTCTCTGCGGCACCTCCTATGAAAATACAGGGTAAGAAATTACCGCGATGCAGGTGTCGAGATTCCAGAGCGTAGGAAAGAACACTTGGCAGACAGGCAGGATAAGGGGAGTTGGGTGGGGGGCGAAGGACATTCGCCGAAGGTGGTTGTCAAACGTCACGCAGCAAAGGTGCGAGGACCGGGTGCAACCAGGGCTCTAGCTTCACAATGACGAAATGTCGGGGAAATGATCGAAAAGGGTCCTCACCCCACCAGAGGCATGAGCAAAAAACGTCCGGCAGCTTTCTGCCCCGAGACCTTGTCTCCGAACCTTTGATACATCGCCTTCGTCGTACACGTAAATATTTTTCGTTCGCGACCCAGCAAAGATTTGTGGGGCGCGTCGTATCGTGACCCTGTGAGGTGGGACATTTATGCGAACACTGTTTTAGGGTATCATAAACAAGCTAGAACCCGTAGGGCCCTCACATGCGACTCGGGGTGGCATCGACCCTAAAATCGCAAAAGAGCTGCGTGTTTAGGGTTGATGCCATCTCGAACGGAATTCGGTCCCAAATGAGTTTAATATTTTTGACCTTTTTGCGGATAAACATTTACTGGTAAGTACCAAAAATAAAACGGAGTGTATTACAGGTTCGGAGGTGGAAGGACCCTTTTTTTTATCATTTCCCGAAATGGCGCACCAGTGGATTTTTGGGTTGCGTAGGAACCCTATACATTTGGTTTTACATTTGGGGGCACTGAAATGAATAGTAATTTTTTAGGGGCATTTTTTAGGGCAGCCACATAAAACCTTTTTTGGCGACAACTATGATTCTTGTTATCCCACCTCAAAGGCAGATGGAACGACAATAAACGCTTTTACCATATAATAAAAAAACATTTTATTTAATACACATAATGAAATCATAGGAATGCCTCCAAATGTATGCAAAACTACTTCGGAGTTAAAGCAGAGATTGATCCGGCCACTCTGACAGCAATGCTGCTCAATGACGATCACAACCTCAACATGTAAAAACACGTGGTAGGTAGAGCACACACCTTGAGTAAACCCAAACATGAACACCACTGCAAAAAAAAAGCAAACATGTTTTCTGTCATCCACCTCCCCGATTAATACGGCGGATGGAACGACCAGAAAACACAATTTGCATCAACAAAAGTGAATGAGTACACTGCGTGAAACCAGGACCTATATTTGTCTTTTTGCCCCTCTGATTTTCAGGGTGCCTTGGAACTGTAACTCTGATTTTTCTGGGTTTTTCCTAAATTTCACTGATTTATTATGAATCATGTAATCTCTTATGCCAGCTCATTTTCTAACCACTAGATGCGTACAACTAGCAAAATTTGCCCATATTGTCACTATTATTGCACTATTACACGATACACCCACCACCACGGCAACATTACTCATCCTCAGAGCCCTCTAAAGAGGCACTCTCACCATCATTTGAATCATCTATACTCTTAGTAGGGTTATGGGGGACCTCGTACACAACAAACTTGGCTTGCTTCCGCACCTTCTGCTTCCTCGAGATGTCTTCGACTTCGAGGTAGTCGACGTCATACTCGAGCATGTTGATGGTCATGAGATCGCCCAGCCTTGCGTCACACAAGCTAGTGCGTAGCCAAGACTTGATGACATTCTGTCTGCTGAAACCCCTCTCGCACTCAATAGTGCTCAATGGCAGCACTGCCATAGCCTGCCATAGCCTCATGAGGTTCGGGTAGCTCTTGGGCCAGTCACGGGTCTTGAGCATGGCGGCTAGCCCCTGGTTGAAATCGTCATCCGCGCGGTGGTTCTTCATGATGCGACAGAACGTCTTCAGTTCCAGCACTGCCACCCGCTGGTTCACTCCTGCAATGATGGGGGGGAGGGGGGGGGAGTTAAGAGGAAGCTTAGTATGACTTACCAAGCACGGTTGAATATCGAACAAGGGACCAGCTAGCATGATGGTGAATGCAACCGTACCTGTAAGCTTGTTGTCGAAAAGGGCCACGTTCGATTCCAGCCATGCCAGATGCCGCCGCTTACGCGCCTCCGCCTTCTTCGGCCAGCACTCCACCCTGAAGAGTCCCCCGCCGCCAAGGCGCTTCAGGTCACACAGCCGCTACTCCACGTTGGCAACCAACTCCTTCGCCATCGCACTGCACAACTCCTCGCAGTTCGCATGGCTTCCCCCGAACTTGTGGCCAGGGAGACGCTCTTCGCTGAGTTCAAATGAATGACTGCACGGCCTGCCATCTCTGTCCACGCCGGCAATGACGATGCTCTTTTCGCCTTTGCCGAGGCGCTCAAGGAACTTCGACAGCTTCTTGCACATGCCGCCGCCGAAGGTGGTGCCGTACTCGATGTAGCGGTGCCTAATGTATGTGAGGGTGCAATCCACCTCCTGAGAGACAAGAGTGATGTCCACCTGTAGGATGGTTCACATAAAGAGCAGAGAAGGGCACGTCAATAAATAGCAGTAGCTAATAGGAGTGAATGGTGCAGAGAACATTATCCAGGGTATAATGACAAGCAGAATGGACGGAGCATGTACAATAAATTAAACTGAGAGAACTTACTGAACACATCTAAAAGAACCTGTCTTACCGATCGCTTCTGAAAGAACCTGTTCAAGGTGTTCATCTCGGCGAGGACATCAGCGAGGAAGTAGAGGCAGTAGTGGAACTTCAGGGTCTTCACCACGGCTAGCAGCTTGTGCTTGTACTCGATGAGGACGGCGATCGCCGCGCCAAGGATGCTGCAGAGCCGCTTGATGG